GCCGAAAAACATAGTCACCCTGGCTGAGTCGCTGGAAGACCATATGGCGGCAGAGTTCCAGAAAGAGCGGCTTTTCAAAGTGGCCCAGAACCCTGGTGAACAGGTAGGGGGAGGGAGGTAAGAGGTCAGGGGAGACCCCAGACCTGTAAATCTCCGACCCATAGCCCTGACACTGACCGGACATTCTTGAGCATATAGAGCACCTCAGAGGGCAGATGGGAGTTGGCCAGGTCACCCTCTGTCAGATCAGCCTCTAGTACAGCGGGCGGTGGCTCCTTCCGCTGCAGCGTTGGCGTCTCTTTCTGGATGCGCAGGATCCTGATGGGAGGAAAAGGGGACAGGAAAGGGTACAAAACACCTAAGACCCCCACAAAGCCCTTCCCCCCCAGGTTTACACAGAGCCAACTCTAGCCTACTGGCCAAATCAGGCCCACCACCTATTTTTATAAATAAAGTTGTATTGGCTCACAGCTATGTTCATTTATTCCCACATCATCTGTGGCTGCTTTCATGCTATGAAGTTTAAGCTATGAAGTTTAAGACTTGCAGTAGAGGCTGTATGTAGCTTACAAAGCCTAAAGCATTTACTATCTGGCCCTTTATGGAAAAAAATTACAACCTTCAACAAAAAGTCCTGAGATTTCCCCTCCAATAGTAAAAGGCATGAACCTGCTAGTTAGACCATCCCTGATGTACCTTCTAAGATAAGGGCAGACTCTCAAAATAGTACCATCATTTGTCTAGAAGCCCTAACACAGCCCTTTCAATAGTCAGTGACTTGATTCCTAAGAAAACCTCCCTAATTATGCGCATCTGTTAGAGGTAGCTTCTGTTATATGAGAAGACCCCAGATACAGCCTCTTTGTTATTTGTAAAGATTCCTGAGACAGCTCTTCCTCCCAGGTCTCAGAGAACCATGAGATAGCCCCTCTGATGGCCACAGAGTTCCCTGAGTTAACCCTCATTACATGAAGAGAATCCAGATATAGCTCCCCTGCTAATCGTGGACCCAGGTGAGCCCTTCCCAAAAAGTCACAGTGACTGCTGAGATAGTCTTTCCACTGGCACAAGATCCCTGAGATAGTCCTTATGGCAGTGATTTTCAACCGGTGTGCCATGAAAGAATCTTAGGTGTGTGGTGAAAACTTTTGAAGATCATCAATTAAAATTATTTTAGAATGAAGTTCAAAGCACAGTAAGTATATTCTTTTTTTTTCTTTTTTACTCTTTTTTTGGATTAACATAATTTAAGTGTGCCTTGGAAGTTTAACTATAGGTTCAAGTGTGCTGATTAAAAAGGTTGAAAGACACTGCCTTATGGTATAAGCAGACCCTGACTTAAACCTAGTGATAGAGAGGAATCCAGACATAATTCCTTTGCTGATCAGGAAAAGTTTGGGTTGGCTCTTCCCCAGGTGACAGAGAGGTCTGAGATGCTCCTCTGACAGTCACAAAGCTATCAGAGTAGCTCGTCACAGGCACTCAGACACTACAGGCAGTCCCTGTGATGTGTGAGATATAAACCACCTGAGACATAAACCATCAACTGATGTTGGAGAACCTACAGACAGCCCTTTGACTCAACTCACAGAAAACCCTGCAGTAGCATGACTGCTGATTATAGAGAGTCCTGGAATGACATCCTAATCTGAAGAAACCCTTCAGACAGACCTTCAAGTAGACCCCAACATAAAAAGAGATCCCAGAGTTAGCTCCCAACTTCTAAGATCCCTTAAAGTGTCTTTCACACAGACTAGAGGTAGCCCTTTGCTGTTGACAGGGACCTCTGAGATGTCCTTCCTGTGTTTCTAGTGTAAGAAGTTTCTTGAGACAGCCATAGGAGAAACCCCTGCGTTAGCCTCCTTAGTGTGGGAAGAACTCCAAGGTCAATGATGGAGAGAAGATGCCTTCAGAGGTAGAGAGATGACTGAGATAACCCCTGGGGAAGGCAGGCTGGAGATAACCCCCCTAGGAAGTCATAGAAACACCTGAGATAACCCCAGTCAAGCACCCTGGAATAAACTCTCTCATGTTGGGAGACCTCTGAAATAACCTATGTAGAGATCCCAGATAGATGACGCATCCTAAATATACGACAAGACCACTAAGATACTGGCTCGGAAACAAATAGCTCAGAAGTACCCTGCAGAGAGGGAAACGTCCCTGAGATAGCCCTTAGAGGCCAGACACCTTAGAGATGGCATGTCTGGTGTGGAAAGCTCTGTGACAGCCCTTCAGAAGAGAGCTCTGTTATGTCCCTTTGATGTGTAAAGACTGGAAACACAGTCTGCCGGGTTCAAAACCTTAGCGTGGGATGATCCCTCAAAGGGCCCTACAGATAGCCCCCAGCACCAGGTAAACCTTACTTCTTGGCAATGTTGAGCATCTTAAGTTTCTTCTTCATTCGTGGTCGAGAAGTGGTGGAGACAGAAGCATCCACCAGGGAGGAAGTGGACTGTGACACCTGAGAGAATTACGGAGGGGAAGGGTCATTTGATAAGTCAGACCCTGGGAGAAGAGGGGAGCAGATCCAGGCGCGCTTCATTATGGAGGGGGTGATGACAGAAATCCCTAGAAGGAGTAAATAGGAAAGGGGCAGGGCCTCTGTGTGGTCAGCGCGAACCCCAAGGGGTCCTGGACTCACCTTCCTCATAATCTTCCTGCCATAGAAAAGCACTTTGTCCCTCTTCCGGAACCGATACCGGGGGCCATCCGGGGCAGGCGTTTCTGAGGAGAGTGGGGAGACGGACACTCCGATCTCTGCGAGAACACCACGTAGCAACCTCCACCTCTACCGCTTCAAGGACCCGGGCGTTTCGGCTCCCCACCCCACTGATTCCCATGAGGGGCCCTCCGGGTCCTCACTCGGCACTCGCAGCCTCCGCACCACCAGGAGGATGAGCACGGCGGTGACCAGCACCGCTAGTCCGGCGCCAATCATTACGCCCAGCACCTGCGGGACGAACGGCACTGGCTGTGCACCGCAAATCCGTCCTGCTGAGCCTTCCCCGGGGGCCAGGACGTCCCGGGGCCCATCCTTCTCCGTCACTTTCACCCCCGAGGAGTTCGCAGCCTGCCCGTGCCTCGATGTCTCCATCTGTAGAATGGGCAAGCGCAGCACCCTCCCCGGGTGCTCTACTCTTCTTCCCCTGTGGCCCGGCGCCCACAATGCACGCCGGGATACGTAGTTCCACAGGAACAGACGCAGCCTTGTTAACGCGAGATTACGGTAATGCGCGCTGAGCACGCCGGGAGTAATAGTCCCCAACACTTACCACTCCTGTTTGCAGCGGGGCCTCCATTGGCTGCTTCAGTCTGGGCGGCAGATCCGGTAGCACCGAGTCTTGGGGAATCAAGGAGCAGAAAAAATCCGTGCAAGTCGTCAACCTGGGCCCGTCCCGCCCCTAAGCGCAAGCCCGGTGCCTTGGGTACCTACCGCTTGGGCGGCTTCTCCACTGGACGGGGGTGGAGAGGCAGGAGCTGGAGGGGCGCTATGAGACTGAGGGATTGGGCAAATTGACCTCCCGGCCAGGGGGGGTTAGATGGGTCACCGGCTCCTTCCCTGGTTCCCTTCTCCTACGCAGACGTAGTCCCGCCGTCTAATTCCACCCTGGGGCCAAAGGGTAGCAGATCCGGCGCCCACTGCGAGCAACCCGCAGACAGGTTCCCCGCAGGGCACATAACCCCTCCGGTTTGTGGCCTCCACTGAGGCCTCTTTCCTCTACGGGATTGATCAATCCTGACCAACCAACCCACTAGGCCGCAGCCCCTAGCCCTTGCGAAGACTGGATGCCTCACCCCAATTAGAAAACCGGGGGTCGCAAGCCAGGTCAGGGGTGCGGGAGAACAGCTGGTGTCCACACAGCTCCCGCTCCAAGCATGCCCACGGGAATACCCGGGAACCTGGGCGTGCGGAAGTGCTTCAGGGGGCTCCCACAGGAGGGGTACTGCGGCAATACCCATGTCTTGAAAGAGTCCTGCTCGAACTGGTGTGGGTGGCAGCATGTTACTAGTTTATGCTAAGTATTTACTATCACATAACACTAAATTTAGTTCATGGGATCTCTGATGGTACGGAGCATCAACTGGACTCCGGGAACTACGCTGGCGCCATTGCTGGGAGGCGTAACCAGGGACGCTGGAATTACTGGGGGCCACTGTAAAGTTAATGAGACTCTGGGGAATACAGGGATACTTTGGGGAAAACCAGGAGCTGGGGGGGATACATCCCTGGGGTCGTCCGAGTATAAGGCTGGCCCTGGGTAGCCGTCCGGGCTCCTTGGAAGACTGAGGAATGCTGGAATATTACTGGCACTTTTCTGGGAAACTGATGAAGTTTCTGACAGCGCTAGAGTATTGATGGAAAATCAGGGGGAATCACTAGGCTACTAAGACGTTACTTGGAAAATATCGGGATGAGCGGTCTGCCTCCACCCCAGGGAACACTAGGCTACTGGTACAGAAACACCTGCCCGGGACTGGTGGGGGGGGGATAGGAACATCAGAAAGTCAGGAGCTACCGAGAAGATGGAGGCCAGATCTTGGGAAAATCGGGGCTCGCTAACAATCCCCGAAGGGACGGAGAAACCAAAACTCACCCAGGGACCGCAACCAGGATCCACTCTGCGCCAACAACGCTAGCTTTCCGACCGGTTCCGCAGACGCAGCCCCTTTAAATTATTCACCGCACGGCACACCGTAGCCCCGCCCCACGCCATACTGAGAGTGGCAACGCCTTAAAGGGGCCACAGCTCGATAAAGACGGCCCATCCCGTTAGAAATGAGAACCAGAAGTTTATTTTCCCTTTTATTTAACATCCACCCCACCCCTGTCCCCCTACCCGGCACCCAAGGGTCCGGCCCGACTGGCCTAGGCCCTCCCCAGAGCACATCAGGGAGCTCTTTTTTTTTTTTTGGAGACAGTCTCACTGTGTCACCCTAGAAAGAATGTCATGGCGTCACAGCTCACAGTAACCTCAAACTCTTGGGCTTAAGCGATTCTCTTGCCTCAACCTCCCAAGTAGCTGGGACTATAGGCGCACTCCACAACGCCTAGCTATTTTTCTGTTGCAGTTGTCATTGTTGCTTAACTGCCCAGAGGTAGGTTCGAATCGGCCAACCTCAGTGTATGTGGCTGAAACCGTAACCACTGTGCTACGGGTGCTGAGCCAGGGAGTTCATTCTTAAAAGCAAACTCTAAAAATAAATAAGCGTGGGTCCCCGCAAGTCTGGACATGGTGGAGTCAATTCACCAACAGCGAATGGTCCTCTGAGGCGTCCCTAAAGGAGGGAAGAAAAAAGGGCCTTCAGTTCTCTCTGGCACGTCTCCCTTCCTCCATCCCCCAACCAGTCCCCAACCCGGAACAGACCCCAGTCTTGGACGCGAACCTGCCACAACAGCAGAAGAGGCTGCAAGTAGAGCCGCTACCGCGGCGAAACTTGCCAGAGGTAGGGCTGTCCTGGCACTGCGCAATGTAGGCCTGGAGCTCACTCTTCTCTGCACCTGCGCCATCAGGGTGCTGAGGGAGAGATGCCAGCAGGCCTGCCCTTGAGGTCTGCCCTCCCCTCCAGCCATCCTTGCTGTGCCTGCTGTCATTCCTCATGTTTGCTTCCACATGGAGACCCTCTCTGACCGCTGAGCAGGGACACACGCTGCTTCTTCATTGGCCTGGTGCTCTAAGAACCTATAGTCAGGCCTTATGCAACCTGTGCACTTGCTTAACTGTATCATCAGGTCCACATTGTGCACAGCTGTGGGAGCATGGCCTGAGCTGCTGCATGTGCCCGACATCTCAGTGCTAGAGAAAGATTCAAAGTGACTCTGAGGGCCTGAGTGACAGGAACATTTCTGTGGCAACACTTGAAACCATTCATGCAGAAAGGAGGCGCATACATCTGTCTCTAACATAGGATGCAGAAGAATCTTGCAGCAGAACCTTCTCTCCTCTCAACCTCAAGGAGCCCCTCTCTTTTCTCTAAGTCCTTTCTGGCTACTAGGCATTTGCCTTGGCTGTTCTTTCTGTTAGGTTCCCATTTCCTCAATCTGGAACTCTCTATTGTCCAGTGTGGTACCCACTAACCACACTGGCTTTTGAGCACTCGATATGTGGATGGTGCAAGTTAGGAACTGAATTTGGAATTATACTTACTTTGAATTAAAATCAAAATTAAAATGTAAATAGTCACTTTGTCTAGAATTAAACAGTGAACAGAATACTCCAGAAACTTTCCTGCACCTGTCTTAATACCAGTCTAAAGCAGGGATCTGCTCTGTAACCTTCCACTCCTCCTTCATACCTCTCACCAGTTGGTCATTTGTCATGGGACATCCATTCCTGTGTCATCCCTCTCACCCTCAGGCTTTGGACAGACCACATATACTCAATTTCCCTCAATGGCCAGAGCCCAGCACAAAGCCTGGTCCACAACAGGCCCTGGGATATGTTTGCTGAAAGAGTCCTCTCTACCTGTGCCACTCTCCACCCCCCCACTCAATTTCCTTTCTCTTCCCTGAGCCTTTCAGGCTGCACAAAAAACCACTGTTCCAGGCCACATTCTTTTTGGCTTTGCAGGGTCTCCCATATTCTCTCCCCAGGTCTTCTCTGCTTACCCTGTTGTGTCCCCAAGACCCTGCCATAGCTGATACCAAGAGACCTGGAGCCCAAGCTCAGGGCTGTGCATGCCTGTGTGTGGGAACCCTGGGAGACAGGTGGGAGGGAACATGTGGCACCAAGTGGCTGACCTTGATGGTGTCATAGGCGCCGGTGATGAGTGCAATGAACAGGCTCAGCACCATGTAGATGAAGAGGCTGATGAAGGAATAGAGGTAGATCTGGGAGAAGAGCCAGACCAGGCTGCTGTGGCCCTGCTGCGCCTGCATCGCTGCAAACGTCACGAACATGTCGTCCCCGTTGATGAGTGAGAACAGGCATTCGGATACCATGGACAGTGAGCGGAACTGCCAGCAGGGCAGAGGGGTCAGAGGGAGCTGTAGGTACAGCTGGGGGCTGAGGTTAAGGCAGGGTCCCTGGAGGTCAGTAGTCATGATGGGACCAGCTGAGGGTCACCATGTCAAGGGTGGGATCCCAGGGTCAATGACAAAGTCATGGGGTCAATGTCAGGGTCAGAATGCAAAATTGCTACAGACCTGTAAGTCAGGCCCAGGGGGCTGAGATGGGTCTTATTCAGTGTAATCAGGTCTGGAGAGACCAGAGGTCAGAGGGCTTAGGGAATGGGCTCGAAGAAGGGGAGCCAGGTACCCTCCCACTATAGGCCATAAGCACCCCCAGCCCTGAGGGCCCCTACCTTCACATGATAGGGCCCTAGCACAATCCAGCCACAGAAGCAATAGCCCAGGTAGATGACAGCCACACAGCAGCAGAAGCGCATGACGCTGGGTAGGGCTACCCGAAGTGTGGCAATGAGAATCTGCAGTGAGGCAGAGAGGGTCACACTGAGGGCATGGCCACAGCCCCAGTTGGCTGCAGGCAACCAGGTGGCAGTGAAGCAGGTCAGGCCTCACTGAGGTCAAGGCTAGGAGTTTAGAAGGGGCAGGGCTGTCTGTCCCAAGGGGGTCTGAGGATACCCCATGGCTGCCCAGCTGCAGTGACAGGTTATGTCTGGGGTAGTCAGGTATGAGGAAGAGGCTTGCAACAGGCTGTAGACAGTGGCTGGTGGGTGCTGTGTGTACATATCTATTTCAGGGGGACATGGGCTGGCCGCTCAGAGGCCCTCTCCTGGTTCAGGCCCAGCCTATGTGCAAGAGACTCACATTGTACTTGTGGAAGAAAGTCAGATAGCGGATGACGCCCACCCAGACGAGCAGAGTCGAGGTGCCCAGAAGGATGCTGCAGACATCATAGCTTGCCAGGTTCTAGGGATGGAGCACTGTCAAGCCATCTGGCAGGGAGGACATGGACCAGGTGGGCAAAGGGGCCTAGGGTAGGGCAAGGTAAGGACCCACCTTGGCCTCGATTCCAATCTTCATGATGGTGCCTGAGATGGTGAGCACATCACTGGTGACCAGCAGGATATACCAGCCATTGACAAATTCCAGCCGATCCCACAGGCTAATCACCCTTCCCTGCTGCCGCCACATGAATGCAACAAATTCCTACAGAAGGCAGCTGAGGTGAGCGCCTGTCCAGGCACCAGACCCTCAAGACCCCTGGCCTTTGTCATCCCAGAGCTGGGTGAGGTAGGGGTCAGTACACGTGATTCTGGGGCCTCACATTCTGCAGCAGGAAGCCACGGAGCAATGAGCGGGCACATAGCAGGAAGGACAACGAGCAGGTGAGGATGACCACCACATCAAACAGAAGCCGGAAGCTATTGTCTCCTGCAGGAAGGATTAGAGGGGCATGGAGCTTTGGGTGACCAATGGCTGCTTTTGACTGGTCAGGTAGCCCTGGTCAGCACCTGTCTGGGGCTCAAGGGCTCACCGTGCCTGAAGACACTGGGGTGCTTACACTCCTGGATGTGGGCCTGGGTCTCCAGGCTGATGGGGACACGCCCGCTGTGTGCTTTATTGTCAAACATGATCTGCAGGGGGAAGAAGTCAGAGTAAACCTCAGCAGCTCCAAGCTCCCTGGACCGTCCCAACATATGCCCTCAGCCAATAGTGCTCAGATGCTACCTGACTGGGTGTCAGTCCTAAGACTTAGGAACCCTGCACATCTATGCCCAGATCACCCTGAGTCCTTACCAGGACACTGAAAGTGTAGCAGTCTGGGATCTCATTGTTGATGAGGCTCTGGAGATTGATGGTCTTCAGCTGGAAGTGGATGGTGACGTTGATCAGCCTGTGGGAGAGGCTCAAGTGAGGGGCAGGGGGCTCTAGAGGTCCCCTCCCAGCCCAAGTACCAGGTCCCCAGTCCCTTGCTGACTTGGCAGGTGGCAGGGGAAGTGCTCACACAGCAGGCGCCAGTGCAGTGGGGCGCTGCCCCCTCAACCCATAGGGAAATGGCTGCCCAGGCAACATTGCCTGGGACCCTGCCCTCCTCAGCCCCTGGGCCCAGCCCTTGGGGAGCCCCCTTAAGAGAGCAAACAGTACTTGTGGAATTTGAGAGTGAGGTTCCTGTAATTGGAGCTGCCAACGTAGAAAGCGAGATCATCACTGGGGGGTGGGAGAGGTCGCTCAGGAGGGTCCACCCCAATGCACTCTGAGGACAAGGAGTGAGGAAAGGGCCTCAGGGGGTGGTCTCCCCAGAGTCCCCAGCAGCCTTCTCCCTTCCTTCACTCCCTGCTTCCTGCTTAAGATTTTGTTTTTCCTCCCCAGGGTAGGGCCTGGTCTGTCTTATTCCCTATAGAGACCAAGGGCCTGGCACTCCGTCACCAGACTGGTGGTGACTAGGGCTACTTGACCAGTCAAAACCAACCATGCAGCCCCCACCGTCTCCAGCTTGGAGACGTGAACAAACAAATATTGTGAACAAATAATATTAAGAAATAACACCCAGAAGCTTCTACATAGTAAGCACTGTACTAAGAACATCAATTTTTTTTTTTAATTTTTTGAGACAGAGTCTCACTTTGTTGCCCTTGGTAGAGTGCTGTAGCATCACAGCTCACAGCAACCTTAAACTCTTGGGCTTAAATGATTCTCTTGCCTTAGCCTCCCAGGTAGCTGGGACTATAGGTGCCCATGACAACACTTGGCTTTTTTTTGTTTTTGTTATAGTTATCATCGTTTAGCAGGCCAAGGCTAGGTTTGAACCCACCAGCCCTGGTGTATATGGCCAGTGCCCTAACCACTGAGCTACAGGTGCAAGCCAAGACATCAAATTATTATTATTATTATTATTTTGAGACAGAGTCTCACACTGTTGGCCTGGGTAGAGTGCTATAGCATCATAGCTCACAGCAACCTCAAACTCCTGGACTCAAGTGATCCTCTTGCCTCAGCCTCCCAAGTAGCTGGGACTACAGTCACCCGCTACAAGGCCCAGCTAATTTTTCTATTTTTAGTAGAGACAAGGTCTCACTTTTGCTCAGGCTGGTCTCAAATTTCTGAGCTCAGGCAATCTTCCTGCCTCAGCCTCCCAGAGTGCTGGGATTACAGGGGTGAGCCCCGCAATTGGCCAAAGCAGACATTAATTTATTAATGATCATGACAGCTCTATCTCATGAATATAGGACAGTCACAGCTTGTGATTTTAATCCCAGCAGTCCAGGCTCTGAAGAGTGAAGCCCTGCTCTAACTACTCACCAGTTTCCACTATTGGGTCAATGTCAAAGGTGTCATTGGCTGGGTCCACGTGGCCATGGCGGTAGTACTGCTGACAGAGAGCCAATGCGGAGCCATTCACGGAAGGCCCACCCCCACCCCGGACATAGGCATACCGGCCCAGGGACACGTCAGGCAGCATCAGGTACTGTGGGCAGAGCAGGGAAGGCCGGTCAGCTCTGCATACTCCTTGCCACATGCCCACCTGTGCCCGCCCAGCTGCACCTGGTCCACAGCATGGAAGATGGCTTGGTATAGCTGCTCCCGTGTGTAGGCGGCAAAGGTGTCATCTGCCCCATCTGAGTAGCCCCGCAGGAAGAGGTGTCGGAAGGCAATAGTGTTCTCTTCCCGGAATGTCACTGCTAACTGATTGCTGAGCCCAAACAGGATGAGCTGCAGAGAGGGTAGGAAAGGTTGGCACTGCAGGGATGGGACTTCCCTGGGGCAACAGGTGCATGAGAAGGAAAAAGAGGACCCTAGAAACATCACTCAGCTCCATGCCACGCCCACTGTTATGTCTCTGACAGCCAACACAGTGGGCACCCATATATCTCATGGTAGCAGTTAATATTCATCAAATATTAGCCTAGGCCACATAGCAAGACTGACTCTACAAAAAAAATTTAAAAACTAACCAGGGGTGGTGGTATGAGCTTGTAGTCCCAGCTACTTGGGAGGCTGAGGCAGGATTGCTTGAGCTCAAGAGTTCAAGGTTACAGTGAGCTATGAACACATTGTACTCCAGCCTGGGTGGCAAAACGAGACCCTGTCTCTTAAACACAAAATATTTTATAAAATGTTCATTAAATGTTTATAGGAGACTGGACATGGCCGCTCACACCTTTATACCTCCTAGCACCCTGGAAGGCTGAGGCCGGTGGACTGCTTGAGCTCAGGAGTTCGAGACCAGCCTGAGCAAGAGTAAAAACCCTATCTCTAAAAACAGTCAGGTGGGCGGCACCTGTGGCTCTAAGGTGTAGGGTGCTGGCCCCATATGCCAGAGGTGGTGGGTTCAGGCCCAGCCCTGGCCCAAAACTGCAACAACAACAACAAAACAGCCAGGTGTTATAGTGGGCATCCATAGTCCCAGCTACTTGGGAGGCTCAGGAAAAAGAAACACTTTAGCCCAGGAGTATGAGGTTGCTGTGAGCTATGATGCCACAGCACTCTACTAAGGGCAACAAAATGAGACTGTCTCAAAAAAAAAAAAAAAGTTTACCAGATACCGAATTCTATGTTAAACCTATACTTACAGGGTACATATCATGATCAAGCCCACTTTACTGAGGGGAAATTAGAGTCATGGTAACATGCCTAAAGACACAGCCCAAGATCAGAAGCAAGAACTTAGGGTAGTGGCTGTGAGTGATTCACACTGGGGTTCCCATAACCCAGCACAGGGCATAACATGAGGGAGGAAGGACGCCATGGTCTGACTGCCTAGGTTCAAATCCTAGTTCCCAATGCTGTGTGACTTTGGACAAGGTCCTTAACCTCTCTGAGCCTTTGTAGGGGCAACAGCAGTTGCTAAGACCTCAAATGGTGCTGTTGAACTTAAAAGGAGCCATTGCACGCACAGATGGTTTCCTGACTAGTCACTGCCACTGGCATTCTCATGTTGCCATGAGGAGTCAGGACTAGGCTCCCATTCCAAGACCCTCATTCCAGGAGGCATTCCACTGGGGCCCTTTCTGGGCTGATCTCACCTGCACAGTGACCACCAGGATCTTGACCACCTGCAGCATCAGCTTGCAGGGCTTGCGGCCCTTGGCTCGAAACTTGTCACAGGGACTCATGAAAAAGTACTTGAGGCGACGGCGAAGGTCTTCCTCTTCCGGGGGTGTTGGAGGGGCCGATGAAGACCTTGCCTGGGTACCATACCCAGGGGTGGGGGTCAACAGCCGCTCAGTCTCTGTGGAAATGGGAGAGGGTGCTGGGGACTAGGCCTAAGCAGCTTCCCCTGCCTCCTTCCCCAACAGGAGAAACAGTGATGACTTTTTTTCTTGCCATATGTTCCTGCCAAGGAAGAACTTTGAAAAGCTCTAAGGAAAACCAGAAGATCTGCAACACTGCATGGATATATGCAGTAGTACTGCTCAGCAGTTATAGATCTGGGTTTCAGAGTCAAAAGGGCCTGAGCTGATTCTTGCTTCTGCTGCTCACCAGCCAGGACAGAACACTCAGTCTCTCTGACCCTCAGTTTTCTCATCTGCAAAATGGAGCAATAATCATCTTCCATGGAAATGTTGAGGACTGGATACTTACAAAGCATTTAGCACAGGGGTTGGTACATAGTGATTGACAGAACATCCTATCATTGTTCCTGTTGTTGATTAGAGGGCAAATAATGAGCCAATCCCACTGGCTACTCACAGGACATTCAAGGCTCTCAGGCTTATCCCAATTCTTGCCTCCAGGCATGAGTGCAGAGCTCAGCCCACATTCCAGTTTTTTCTGGACAAATAGCCAAAGGATGACCTCTGCACTCATAACAACCTCACCCATCAGCTGATACACTCATGAGACGCAGGCCTGGAAAAAGGTTGATCAATCATAACAGTAATAATAATGGAACACAGTTGCTGAAGACTCAATTTATCTTTCACAAAGGCACCAGCCCCTGAAAAGCACACAGCCCTAGGATCAAATCCCAGATATGCCACTTCCCAGTTGGGTGACCCAAGAATACCTCCCTCAGTCTAAAAGTGGAAATAAAAAGTGTCTACCCCTAGGCTGAGATACTGACGCTGCTCTGAGAATTCAGCAAGACAAGGCAGGTAAAGACCTCAATAATTCTTCAGAAAAGAGAAACTGATCTAATCACTGTTTATTTCTCTGGGACCTAAGGAGAAGATCCAGGGTTTCTGCAACTGCTGGAGTCACAGCCTGTAACTGTAGCCCAGAACTGTCCCTGGACACATAACCTCTGGGAGAGCCCCGATGCTTTCCAGGGCCTAGCCCCAGCCTGCAAAGCTGTCCGGATACATGTGAATGCTGTCAGAACCTGCTGTGCAGAGAGGGCCCCTCCCTTTGGAACTTGGATGCTACTTTGGCTGTTTACAAGTCAGTCTCAGGTGACACCAGAGGGGAGGCTCTGCATCTCTGGCTAAAGTCACAGTCAGCACACCCGAGACCCTGCCAGGTAGTGCATCTATCAGGTGGAGGTCCCCATCTAGCTCCAGAAGGGGTGGCCAACACAAGGGTCTTCCTCAAGCCTCCCCAAGGAAAGGCGACCTCTGCACCAGGTGGAAGCCTGAGTTTAAGAAGGGGCAGCTTGTGCAGAGCCCATAGGTCAGTGGGTAGAGCACGGGCCACACACACCGAGGCTGGTGGGATCGAACCTGGCCTGGGCCAGCTAAAAACAACAATGACAACTGCAACAAAAAAAATAGCCGGGTGTTGTGGCGGCACCTGTAGTCCCGATCACTTGGGAGACTGAGGCAAGAGGATGGCTTAATCCCAAGAGTTTGAGGTTGCTGTGAACTGTGACGCCACAGTACTCTAGCGAGGGCCAGACAGTGAGACTCTGTCTCAAAAAGAAGAAGAAGAAGAAGGTGCAGTTTGCACGGGTTTGGACACCTGAAACTGAGTTAGTCACCTGGAGGAAATCTCTCCAGCTCTTTGCTCGAGTTTAGGGAAGCTGAAGCCTTTGCCTGCAGGAATCAGGAGGGGAAACCTGGGAGTCTCACGTGCTGGCTGGAGAAGCAGGTGCCTGCTGAATTCCAACAAACTTGTGCTATCAAAACCTAGCCTCTAAATGGAAATCCTGGGAACCTCAGCCCCCGACTGGCAGCTAGATAGCTACCTGAGAGTGGTAACTCTGAGCAGAGTCTGGCTTCGGGAAGGGGAAATCACAGGAACCCCGCCGCCCCAGGTCGGAGAAGCTGGTGCCCATCCGCTGCCCAGGTTCTAGGAGCCGTCTCTGCCCGTATCTCCACCATGGGGAAGCTGAGGGGTCAGCCGGAGTATAGAAAAAGAAACTGGAAGCCCTCCCGTCCCAGGTCGCAGAAGCTAGCAGCCCGCCCGTCTACCCTCCGCCTGCAGTCCAGGACCCGCAGTGCAGCTCGCGCTCTCACCTGAGCCGCACCGGCCCACTGGGGCTGCCATGCTGAGCCGGGGAACGCGGGACGCCGGCAGGCAAGATCGCGGGCAGCCTGGGTCCGAGAGCCTGTCGCTGTCACCCCGGCTTCGCTCCCTCGCCGCGCGGCTTCAAACACTCCAGCATCAGCTGATCTGTGCCTGGATCACGTGACCGGAGAAGCATAGAGTCCCACGTGATCGATTCGGTCCCGCCCCTGGCGCCAGGACAACTCCCACCACCCCACCCCACCCCCGGCCTCTTGCCAGGGCAGCGCGCATGCGTGCCTCAGCCGGCACCCTCCTAGTAAAAGTCCTTAGGTAGGCCAGGGGTTGGCGGGTCGTTGGGTTGGCCCTAAGTGTGGCATCCGCGAACTCCGCCCCGCCTCCTTGTCGTGCCCTGCGTCCGGTGCCAGCCTCGTGACTTCCACGTCCAGAACTTGACCCCTTAACATCCGCGGTGTCTGGTGATGACCCTGCGCGCTATCTGAAGGCTTCCTTCTTCCTTTCTCCTAGAAAGTCCTTTTGTCCCCCTCATCCGGACCAATAGCAAACCCAATTTCCTCATTAAGTACCAAATAGAACCACTTATCCCTCCCCTAGGGCCCCCCAGCCCAGAGTTCTACAATATTCCTGACCTGAAAGGTGGAAATCAAACCCCTAGGTAACCTGGCTAGTCTCAGCTTCCCTCCACCCTGGCTCTCCACTTAGCAGCTAGAAGCCTCTTCAAAGACTAATTCCTATCAGTCCCCTGCCAGAACTTGCCCTTACCTTCCCATTTTTATGGAATGGCAAGCCAACTCCCCACTTCCATAGGCCAGGGCCTTCTGGTCTGGCTCCTGCCTCTTTCCATTGCACATCAACAGCCCGAGGGCCTTTGCACAGTCTTGCCCTGGAGAGTAATGGTTAAGAACTTACATTCTGGGGAGGGCAATTTGGGTTTAAATCTAGGCACTGGCCAGGCAAAGCAGCTCATGTCTGTAATCCCAGAATTTAGGGAGGCCAAGGACCTAAAGATTGCTTGATTCAGGAGTTTGAGAACAGCCTGAGGAACATATTGAGATTGTGTCTCAAAAAAACAATTAAAATTTTTAAAAAATCTAGGCACTGCCAACTGCCACTACTACATCTTCCAGAGTCCCTTAAATGCCTTATTTGTAAAATGAAGACCTCTTGATCAGAGTTACCTGCCTGGTGGGGCTGTTGAAAGAATGAAATGAAAGAATGCAAGAGCATGGCATATAAGGCTGGTATTGATTGTTAAATTAATGATCAGTGGTTATTGTAAAATCCTTTCTTGAGAAAGCTGTTGCCCCTGTCTAAATTAGAAGTCTTCCCCACCCCCGCTTGGAGACAGAAACAAACTGTAGCCCTGGGTAGAGTGCAGTGGTGCCACAATAGCTCACTACAACCTCAAACTATCTTCTAGTGATCCTCTTGCCTCAGCCTCCCAGAGTGCTAGGATTACAGGCATGAGAATTATAAGCATGAAACATTGTGTCTTGCCAGAAGTCTTGTTATACTTCTCCAATGTACCATACCCTGTAATTACCTTTTAAATATTTCTGAATTTGATATCTGTGAGCTTTGTGAGGGTGCAGACTATGCTTATTTTGCTCCGTGCTCAGACCCCAGCAATCAAGAGATGTTTGTTGAATGCATAAATGAGCAGCTTTCTTTTGTCCAGTGGTATACTTGTTTGGTAGGCTACAAATGGCAAGGGGTACATTAGCAGATTCCAGAATGGTGACTAGTAAGATGGGCCAATGTGAGACTTTATAGAGGAGGCTGGTGTACCTCCTAGTACAAGAAGCAAGCCAGGATTACTAGTATTCCAGACTATGGCTGGCCCAGGCCACACCCTTACATCTCCAGAGAAAGGGGCCATGAGTCAGGGAAGAAAGTGCAAAAGGCAAACCACGACACAGAGCCGGGAAGCAGTGAGAGGATTTTACTAACTGCACAACACACAACTTCCCCAGGCCCCCTTGGGTGCCAGCGCTCCCTTCAGCCATCAGGCCCCAGCAGTGCCCCTTGCTCCTGTACCCACTCAGGACTCTCCCCAGTAGGGAGGGCTGGGCTGACAGTGTCATGGGTTGGGGAGCAGGTGTCAGGACAGGGCATGGGATCAGGTTTGAGACTGGGATCAAATTTATGATCAGGCCTGGGCACAAGGTCAGGATCAGCATTGTGCCTAGGCTTAGGGTCAGAAGATTCCACGGGGTTAGGGCTAAGGGTGGATTTGGAGCTAGAGAGGGGCTTGGGGCTGGGATTCTGGAGAGTGCCCAACTCAGAGCCAGGGTCAGGGCCACTGCCAGAGCTGGTGCCAGGGCTGAGGCCCAGGCCAGAGCCCAGCATGGAGACAGCCTCGGGACCCAGAAGGGAGACCTGTCCCGGTCTCATCACAGATGCCGAGCTCAGGTCAGGCACGAGGCCTAGGCTGGCAGCTGCAGCGGCTGCGGCTGCGGCGGCTGCGCCCTCGTGCACCCTTTTGTGCTTGGTGAGGCTGGAGGCTTGGCCGAAGGCCTTGCCGCAGAGCTGGCAGCGGTAGGGCCGCTCGCCCGAATGCACGTGCAGGTGCTGCAGCAGCGCTGAGCTCTGCCCAAAGGCCTTGGAGCAGTGTGGGCAGGCGTAGGGCCGCTCGCCCGTGTGGATTCGCAGGTGGTGCTGCAGGTTGGAGCTCTGCCCGAATGCCTTGCCACAGTGGGGACAGCGATAGGGGCGCTCTGCTGTGTGCGTGCGCTGGTGCTGCAGCAGCGCCGAGCTCTGCCCAAAGGCTTTTCCGCACTGCGGGCACGGGTAGGGCCGCTCACCCGTGTGCGTGCGCAGGTGCTTAAGAAGAGCTGAGCCCTGCCCAAAGCCCTTGGCGCACACAGGGCACTTGTGGGGCCGCGGGCCGCCGTGGGTGCGCAGGTGCTGCGCCAGCAGCGAGCCGTGCCCGAAGGCCTTGCCACACACTGGGCAGTGGTGTGGCTTCTCCCCGCTGTGGCTGCTGCGGTGCTTCAGCAGCGTTGAGCGCCAGCCGAAGGCTTTGCCGCACGCTGCGCACTGGTACGGCCGGGCCCCAGTGTGGATGCCTCGGTGCTGTGCAAGCGTGGCGCCGTGGCTGAACGACTTGCCGCAGTCAGGGCAGCGGTAGGGCTTCTCGCCGCTGTGGGTGCGGCGGTGCTGGCTCAACCCCGAGCTGCGGCGAAAGGCTCTCCCGCAATCGGGGCAGGAGAAAGGCCGGGGCGGGCTGGCAGGGGCGGACAGCACCGCGGGGCTGGTAGCCAAGACCTGGGGGCTGGCAGTGAGGTCGGACGCGAGGGGGTCCGCGTCTGGAGCAGCAGGGCTGAGGGTGTCGCTGTTAGGGTCGAGAACCAAGGGTACAGGGCCGATAACATCTGGATCAAGGTCGAAACTTGAAGACATGGGGTCTGGATCTTGGAGTTCAGAATGGCGGTTCCCCAAGATAGCGCCTGGAGCTTCAGCATCAGGATCCAGATCTTCTGACACTGGCCCCTGATCTTCATAGCTGGGGTCCACAACTTCTGAGACAGTATTGAGGTCTTCTGAGTTAGGTCCTGGGTCTTCAGAAACTGGGTCCAGATCTTCAGGATTGGGGTCCAGGTCCTCTGAGTCAGAGTCAGGCTCTTTATAAAGGGCCCTCAGGCCTTTGTGGCCTGGGTTCCTGACCAGAACAGAGCGCCTCATCCCAGGGGTGGAAGTGCCCCCCGCTTCTGGGGCAGGATCTGCAGAGGGGAGGACATAGGTGGATGGAGGTAGGTTCTGAGGAAAGGTGGGGGAGTCTCTTGGACTCTGGGCAGGGATGGGTGAGGTGACAGGCTGTGCCTCTAGAACCCACTACTAAGCATACACATGGATTTTTCCCTTGTCTTCAACTTCAGGGAGATTTCTGACTCTCTCCAGTCAGGGCAGGGAGTAGAGGGACCCTGGTGGTGGGACATGGTGGGACTCTCCCATTTTAGCCTCCAACCTGGATGGTAGTCACAGGACCCAGCATTAGAGGTCTCCAGTGCCCAACTCCATGACTCTGCCCCTCTCTCCATCTTGGGCTCCTCTGTGGGAAGGTGGGGTCCTGTGGAGGAGAGAGTCGTAGGTTCCGACCCCCTCAGCAGGAATCCCCTCATGGGGGAAGAAGATAGATAAGTTGTCAGAGTTCCTGTGTTTCTGAGCACGTGGCCTGAACTCTTGTCCCATAGTTGGGGGTTGCTGGTAGGGAGGGGATCTCTGCTTCACCTTCTAGAGAGGTAGTAGCATCCTGAGTGCCGGACCCTATGGCTGAGGGATAGGAGTCAGGGGCAAATGACATCTGGCACCCCTCCTAGGTCACCAGGGGAGGATGGGAGGACCCTGCTTGCCTCCTGAGAACACAACCTAAATTCCAGCCCTCACAGCTCAGGGTAGGAGTGTCAAAACATCTGTGTTATTCCTTAACTCCAGAAAGCCTCTTCCTAAAGCCAGAGAGTATGAAAGAAAGATAAATGAGACCTTTCTTTCTTGGCTGGGAGGGGAAGAAAGGGAAACTCCTGGATGTCATGAGGGTGGGGACAGTTGTTGGTATACCTGTTTTCTCAACTGGCTAGAAGATCCCAAATTCTTTGTTGTTGTTGTTGTTTTGTTTTGTTTTCTTCTGAGATGGGGTCTCACTATCCTACCCAGACTGGTTTTGGATTCCTGAGGTCAAGTGATCTTCCTGCCTCTGCCTCCCAAGCTCCCAAGTAGCTGAGACTATAGGTGTGTGCTAAACTGCCCCAGACCTAGAAGATCCTGAATTCTAATCACTAGCTGGAGGGTAAGTGAAAATAATACCTGGGGACCCTCCTGGGTTACAGGTGAAAGCCCCAGACTATCTCCTCCCATGCCTGGGGCACCGGGATGGTGTCAACACACTTGTTTTCCTTTTTGGAGGAAAGATTCTGAACTGAGCTGAATTCCAGTATCATGATTGGGAACAGATAGACCGGCTGAAAAACAATAGCTGGTACTCCTTCTGGGGAGGAACAAGGAGCTTAAGATTGCCTGTTGCAGAGATGCTGAGCTACTCACCCCATGGCTGGGTGCTAGGCAAAGAATAAGTAGGTGTGTTCCTTTGGGGGGACATAGTAAACCACAGCCCCATAGCTGAGAATGGTGGAGTAAAGACAGCTGAGGTCCTGCACAGCCTCCTGGACCCAGATCCCCTAGTTGGACAGTGGGGGAACAATACCTGGGTCCCCCCCTTTCCTGAGTTCCTGAGGGGCAGAGAAGCCCTTAGATTGCCTCCAGAGGGAGGGGCCTCCTGAATTCCCATTTCTTAACTGGAAGGTGGGAGGAGCAATCAGTGGGGTTCTTCTTGAGTTCATGGGGAGCAGGTGGACCCCTGGTACACGATCTGGGGGAGGGGCTTCCAGAACGCCAGGCTCCAAGACTGGAAGGGGGGAACAATAGCTAGGCTCCTTCCTGGGATCCTGGGGGAGGGGAACCCCTGGATACCCTTCTTGAGGAAAGGACCTCGTGAACTCGTGACCCTGGGCCCAGGCGGGAGGTGGGAACAATACCCAGGGACCCCCTCCTGGGTTCCAGGAGAGTAGGGGGTCCGGATGGCCACCTGGGTTGGGAGGGTCCTGAACTCCCAATTCTACAGCTGGCGGGCCCCCAACCCCGTCCGATTGAAGGCGCACAGCCTCAGGGGCCCTCCCCCCAGGCTGCATCAGCGGGATGGGCTAGCTAGGCCTGCCGGCCGCGGGGTCCGCTCAGATCGCGCCCACGACCTGGCTAGCTCAGG